GACATAATCAGTGCCTCCACAGCAGTAGATCGAGAAATACGGAGTATAGTAGCAGATGCCATTTGAAAAACACTCAGTTGTCGTCAAATGATGTCAGAGAAGAAACCCTTCGAGGCTCAATCCTACAAGGAGTTAGAAAGTTCCACCTTGAAGGGTGGCCCTCGAAGATCAGTTCCATAGAGTTTCAACGGTTTTAACAACGTAGACTCTCTCTCTCTTAGTCATCGACGACTGTCTGTTGTTTGCGGAACTCGTCATAATCCCAAAGAAGCTGCATACAGCAGTACTTGAATAGTTGCGCACAGGCCATCCTGGAATAAATCGTATGAAAGCACTAGCACGACGTTATGTATACTGGCCGCATATAGACACCCAACTGGAGCAGCTATCCCGTTCGCATGCCGAATGTGCATTAGCAACAAAAGCACCGCGGAAAGCAGGGCAGCAGTCATGGCCAATACCACAGTCACTGGGGTAATGTATACATTTGAACTTTGCTGGTCCACTTCACTGACAAACTTATCTTCTGGCAGTTGATGCATACAGCAAGTGGCCAGAAATGTTTTCATGGAACATCCTGCTGTAACCTGCACAGTCAGAAAACTACGTCAACTACTCAGCCGTTTCGGAGTCCCAGAATTAATAGTTAGCGAAAATTGAACACAGTGTACACCTGCCATAGTCTCAGAATTTTGTCGGCGAAACGGAGTCAGTCATGTCCGAACACATCCATTCCATCTCCAATCCAATGGCAAAGTGGAATGCTTTGTTGTCATATCTAAAATTGCTCTTAAAAAATCGAAAGCGGATGTTATCGCTGAAGAAATCTCCGAAAGGTTCCTGCTTATTTATCGCTCTGCACCGAATACTCAGACGTTTAGCGGGGTCTCTGCAGCAGAAGCTGTTCTTGGCAGAAAAATACGAACACATTTTGATGTCATCCGTCCTACGCCAGCTCTTGATCCTCAACGAAACCTACTGATGGAGAAGTAGTTCACTCGACACCATGAGGCACAAAGACGATTGTTCACGGTGGGTCAAAAAGTACTTGCTAGGACTATTATGGGAAACATCCTACATGAATAGCTGGTCGAATCGTGCAAAAGAAACAGTGTGGTTTACGAGGTATCAGCTGGTTCAGAATTTTGGGTGCGTCATGCTCGCTAATTGAGAGCGACTTCGATCGACATCAACGGAACTCGACATGGAATACCTCTTGATGTTCTGCTGGACGCCTTTGAAATCAAAACCTCTGGAACAGACAGGTCAGTCTGTGTAAGCAGAGAGTGATACAACTTTTACATTGCCTAAACGATGAATAAATGGAAAGAACAGGTCAGTCGCTCGGTTTAAGTTGGATCCCAGCACCAGATCCTGCGAATCTGCTCAAATGAGAGGTGTTAACGGGGCATAGATCGAAATAAAATACTTTCCGTGCACATTCATGTTGGGGCACGCTGATTGTCTATCTCTTATCCAATCGGCGCTAGTAGATGCTTGGAGAACACTCTAGAATCTCATGTAAAGACTATAAATGTACTGAAATTTTTCTTATTGTGCTTCTTACTTCCACCTACCCTTGTTATTTGGAATATAATAACCTTTCTGTTCAACCGTGTTCTGATTTGAGGACTTATCGAGTGAATCACAAAGCAATAGGGATAGATGAGTTGTAATAAAAGAAATTAAAACGCTGGGGTTGGTCAAAAACGAATTCGACCACGATACACTTAGAAATCGTTCGGCCATCAAACAGCCCGTGGGCATCTTTCTCGCAGCAACGACTGGCGTCCAACTGGTGACTGCTGTAGACTGAATACAAAAACCATTCCTGATCGTTGTCCGTTATCTCACATTCACGATTTGACAGCTAGGTTGTTAGTTATAACTGGGTTTTCGAAGATCGGCTTGGTTAAGGCCTGTAACCGAATTCTCATGGCTACCGACAACATTTCTAAAACCACAATAGTCGTCACTTCTTTGGGACTAAGAATTTTCGCGCGTGACTTTCGGTTTAAGAGATGCTGATTGATCTTTCCACCAGGGCACTGAAGCACTCATTAGTATCACAGCAGACGCATCCGACTCGGCAATCGAAGGAGTCTTACAACAGTTGAATAACCACACATGAAAATTTGGTATTTTTCTTCAGACGGTTGCTAGACACCGAACTGAGGTATAACACTTTCGGTAGGGAACTCCTAGCCACGCGTTGTCCTGTTCGGCCCTTCCAACACTCCGTGGAAGACCGATAATTCATTTTTTTACTGGCCATACAGCACTCACCTTCTCTCTAAGTTTGTCTCCAGACAAGTATTCACCTTGAGAGTCTCGACAACTTGACTACATTTTGCAGTTCACTTCAGATATACACCACGTTTCTGGGGCAAACACATGTAGTTGCGGACGCTTTGTTTCGCACAAATTCTTTGAACAGTTTCGCAGGAATTAATTCTATCAAACTCGTACAGCTTCAAAAAGAAGGCACTGATCTTCATCATGAGTTATCTCCGACTACCCTGAAACTGGGTATTAAACAGATAGAGACACACCTACATGTAGGGATCGTCCAGTCATGCCCAAACATTATCGACTCAACATCTTCAATACGTTTCACAGGCTTTCTCACCCAGGTGTTCTTGGAACCATCAAGCTCATGTCAGAACGGTTTTCATGGCGTGATATGAATAAAGACGTGAGGGAGTTGGTACGCTCCTGTGTAAACTGCCAAAAACTTAAGGTGATTAGACTCATTCGGAACTCCTGATGCTCGTCTCGACTATGTTCACCTGGATTTGGTAGGACCATTGCCAGACTCAAATGGATGTTCTTATCCCTTAACTTGTATAGACGGTTTCACTTGATGGCTACAAGCAGTACCCACCAATGGCATCACTGCCGAAACAGTGACCCGCGCCTCAGTCGAACGGTGGGTACCGAAATTCGGTCGCCCTTCAAATATCACTCCAGACCGTGGATCCCAGTTGAAATCTGGACCTTCATGTTGTCAAACTACACTACTAGAAATCACATGATTTCGAACAACTTCCTACCACCCATAAGCAAACGGGTTGGTAGAATGCTTTTGTCGACTGCTCAAAGCTCCACATTCAGCTGCAAATGTTTCATAGTGGACCGACGCTCTTCCACTTGTTTTACTCGGAACTCGCAATTCAGTGGAGACTGACTACTGATACACTGCAGCTCAACTCATTTATGGAACGGAACTCTGACTTCCAGGAGAATTCGTAGATCGTTCATCTGCTTCAAGGAATATAGATTTAAATTCTTACACGAGCAGGCTTAAAAACACCATGAGTTCAGTTAAACCTGTTTCCACTCGACCTCAGCGAACGGATATTTTTGTTCAACCTGCCTTACGATATAATACACACATATTTGTACGTCAAGACTCACTTCGACGACCTCTCGAAACGACAAACAAAAGACACTTCAAAGTCCTTCAGCGCAAACCTAAGTGCTACATCATCCATAGGGACAAAAGTAATGATAGTATCAGCATCGATCGTCTTACAGTCGCGTATTTAGAAGGAGAACGTAGTCATGTCAATTTTCCTTCGGTACAATCGAAAGGCACGAGTCTTACAATTACGATGCCTTGCTCTATAATCAACAGTCACGAAGAAACTTCGGTAGCATCTGACAACCGATTTAAAACAACGCGTTCTGCAAGGAGAGTATGGTTTCCAAAACGCCTAAACGATTACTGAACACTACATAACACTTTGTTTTATCCTGAAATTTTCTGTATTGTTATGTCAAAAAAGAAAAAGAAGACAAACTATTTCTAATATGCTCATATATATTTATTGTACTTATTTCAAAAAGAACAAAACTTTTTGTTTCTAATTTGCTTTCTTATATGTGTAACGTTTTATTTTTCTCAGTAAACCCAAAACTCACTCTGCGAAAATCATTTTTACGCTATTGTATGTTTACGAAACGCATATATATCAGATTATTTTGTTTTTTCCCGTCTGTTTTGTGTCGTTACGCACGTACGAGCGTAATTCGACATTCGACATACATATTCTTTTTTTCTTTTCCAAGACGGCTAGAAAAGGTGAAGAAAAACGACAGAGTTTGCGATGAATCGAAATTTTTACTCTGCTTGTTTTTTATTACTAGATTGTACAACACAACCCTTATAGTAAGGAAAGACGGCCAGACTCTGCTGAACACAGCAAGCTATCAGACGAGTGTTCGCCAACGACAAACTGGGTTTAAACCTCGGGCTGGCCACGTCTTAGGGCCATCATCACTTCATTAGTGGAGGGGGAGGGATCCGTACCAGTAAATAAATACTCAAAACCAATAGCTCTGTAAGTCTTCGACACTTGATGCCGACCACATCAGTTTTAATGGACTTACCTAGCTGAAGGCTCTCAGTAGCCTGTCCTCACCAGATTGTGAATGGGTACCTTGCGCTTCACACTTCCTACGATCGCTAGCTAGCTTAGATTAGTCAATTCTTGATATATCGATATTTTATCAAATATGACTTCGAACCTCTTGGCTTTTGACTTCTCATTTCACTGGGTTGACACGTTTTAATTATAAAAGGTGCTACTGGTTAAAATGTCAAACTCCAAATACTTGTAGCATCTCTGAAACTATACGTTTTAGGGACTGGTTTACCGCCAGAAACTAAAGTACAAGTATGTAAAACTTATTTGAGACATCCCCAGTGTGATTCTTTGGCAACATGTCGATGTATTTTGATCTTCATTTAGTGAGCGATTATCGTGTATCAAAAGTAGTGTTCGTCTAAGATTTCATTCACAGCGTGTGGAGGTCTCCGTAGCTGTCATCTATAAACGCGTCACTGTATAACAGAAAATTTATGCCTTACGAAAAACCTATATGAAAATTTTGCTCTTGTAGCTAGAAATGACTGACTGAATGGGCGGAAAATGTTTGAGATCGTTCTACATGAAACACTTAATAGACAGAGAATGTTAAAAGTAACCAAAATCTCAGCTTACAACGTCAAAGTGACCTTGAGACATTTTTGTTCATTAACCAATCAGAAAGCAGGTATTATGGATGGATTGTTTACAATAGAAAACAAGTAGAATTAGAATGTATGTATGGTTTTTACTAATGTAGTACATTTATGAAGGCTGATAGGGGATTTTTGTTTTTAAACTTGAGGTTTGGTTTCGAAATTCGTCTATATCGCTCCAGATCATTTAGCCTCGCGAAAATTCCCAATCTCCCAAGTTTGGGGAAATATTGGGGAATTTCCCCAGGTCTGAGGAAATTTCGGGGTCTTAGTGGCATTTCCATAAAGTTTACTATAGCGGCTTCTCTAAACTCGGTCAAATTTTCCCTAAAATTGGGAGCTCGGGTTTGTTCCGGCATATAATTATCTGCATGAAGGTGTAGTTACTGGTAACCCCACCACATTTTTAACGGCCATTTAATTTGCTTCTATAGTTCTTTTCTCTGTCTTAGGTAGTGGCATTTTCTACATGACTTCTGAACACGCAAATCCGCAATATATACTGTTCACAATATTGTAAGCAAACGGTGAAGTATAATTTATTATGATGGGACAATTCACTGTAGGGCTTTCAAAACATCTAAGTGGATCCACTCACACCAGTCTGCTTAGATTTTCTGGTTACTGGGCTAACTATGAGTCACTGACTTTCAGTCAGTGATGCTATATTTCCCAGCTGGGACATAGCATCACTAGTTTTAGAATGACTCACTTAAAGTGGTTCTTTTCATCGAAAACCTTTGTTTAGTGAGTACTTTGTTATTCTGTCTTTGAAGTTAACAAGTAGCACTCCTGTGATCTTTAAATCATCTCAGTTCGCTCCTACACACCAAGCTTGCTAGTAGGTTGAAGACCGCAGTTTAGCTATATGTTAGTCGGGTAACTGTCGTTTATTTGTGAAACCTAATCTCTCATCTGGGCATGTGATGACTATGTATTATGATTGTTACCTTCGAAGAATTGCCCTTATTCGTTATGAACGCCGCGTATTTCATGCTAACATTCTGCAGCATGTTTGGTCGCGGTTTGCTCTAAAGTCCTACAAACGGTGCTATTTCAAGGCATTGGGGTTAGTGGCTAGTACACTTCCGAATCATGTTTTCGCCATGGGTTTTTATACCTCCCACTTATTTGGAAAAGGAAGTACTAAATGTAGACCCATAGCAATAACAATGTCAAAGTTCATTTGCCTTGGTGTGGGTGCAGGTGCATCTACTCTTTGTGTTCTCCCAAATTCTAATCTTCTGAATTCTTCATGTTCCTTTCTTTTTTCTTTCCAAATTTATTTCATTGGGTTATACTCCTTGAATACCATCTTCAAACCCTAATTTTTCTGATTACAGCTTATAAATTTACTACATCTAGCGCTACAGGATTTGAATCGACCACTGCATCTCTGTGCTAATGTGGTGTAGCAACTCGAACTGATGTACGTACGTACGAAGTTCTACGTTGTTACTGACTGACTGAAGTTTCTCCTCTGATCTCTCTTGGTCTTCTCATGTTTTGTTGTTGTCGAAGACAATTTTCCGTCAGACTTATTGTATAAATATGTGGCACATGCTTTTGGCATTACTCGACATTTACGATTTGTAAAGTTTTGCGTGTTACCTATTATTCTTTACTGTCCTCCTTATTCTTTCCCGGGGTTGTAAGAAGAGATTTTGCTGTATTGCGAAGAGTGGTGAGTACAGTTAGCAAGGTGTATGGTGAATCTTTTAAGGTCATTATTAGTGTGGTTGTGGATAGGCATATAAAATCTTGCAAACTCCTGATACTAACCATCCACTTCATTCCTATCTCTATCCTTATATATCTTCCCGTAGAACGGGGTACCAATATGTTAAAATTGATGCACGTAAGCAAAGGTATAGAAGCTCTACAATACCTTATCTAGCAAACATACTATGTGACGAACAGTTTGTAAGGGCTAATCTAGTCAATAATTTATATTCTTAAACATGTTTCTAAATAAAAGTTGTGCAGATCCTATTCTTCTTAAAAAAACATTTCATTTAATTCCAGGCAGTTTATTTACATAATATATATTATATATAGTAATCGTTTTCTGTTTTATAAAAGGAACCTGTTGAAATACTTTGTGCTGGGGATTCTATATCATACTAAACATGTAATATTAAGTGGAGTCACAATAGTAACCATATTATTATTAATAATAGTAATAATAATAAACGTGGACAAAGCAAAGGCTTATGGTCGTCATAGAAAGCGCTATAAGTATGTATTGTGATACTCGTTCATGCACTATAACGCTGTGAGTCGAGTCCTAGAAAACATTCACCTTGGTGCCTTAAAATAACTCAGGGTCAAAACCAGTTTCTATTTTTGCTGTAATCTGCTTTGATCTATCAACTAGGAAATGCACTTTCCGAATCTATGAGACTCATTGTAGTTTTACTCATAATTGATCCATATTTTTCAGTAAGTTCTATTTTTCATCATACCGTTTCCTCTTCTACTGTTTCATATTGCTGTCATTTCGTTTCGTATGACATTTCTATGTGTCGTTAAACCAAACACTTCGATGTGTACATTAATGCCGGTGATAATAAATACCCAATTAAGGAATCTACTTTGCTTCGTGAACCTTCGGCCTAAGAAGTTATCAGTGTTCATCCTGGGTTTAAAGATCACCATGAAGATTTTAGACTATTGTAGCGAAACCTGTTTTTAGTCCCATTAAATCCTGTTCAAGTAACATATTATTGAGTGGGGCAAAGTTATTTGTATTGAATAAAAAAGCGTTTGATTTTATCTTTTAATTGATATTCTGGATTTCTTTAATCGATCATTGGATGAAAAAGTATGATACATATGAAATGACTAATCTTTTGAATTATGTATCTTGTCTCAGTTTGTGTTCTTAAGTAAATTTAGTCATTTAAATGGCACACTCCTGATTATTTAACAAGATCAATTACAAAATATATTGTAGTCTTCATTAACCAATGAAAAATATGATTTTCCACAAGTAAACCTCAATGTAGATTTCTTAGAACTCAAAACTTTGTTCAGTTCTAGGATTTGCGACGTTTTCTGTTCCTTTTCTTCATTAAGAATCGGATTTTGATAAACTGTCAATTGTGAATAGGTTTTAATAGTCTCTTCATATGTCAAGTTGTTCTACTACAATCGCCTGAAGCTTGAAATTTTATTAGTTTTATCACCATACATATCTTTATAGCTGCATATTTTTGTAGGGATGGATTGTGGCTAGCGTTTCGTTCTACTTGAGACACGGCAGGTGGATGTGTCTGCATCTCAAAGTTAATGTATCCCCTTGTACCAATATTTATATGTTCAAATAAATAAATAAATTATAGCTGCATGGTGGATACGGAGGATCCCACCTAGGGGAGTTGGAAAACCTTGATTCCAAACCACTGGTGTACATGGGCTCCAGGATCCTAGGAAAACAAATGGCGTATTAACCTATTGTTGGTCACCGGCTACCATGGGACTGCATCTCCTTACGTTGCTTCACTACCTTGTGGATTAGACCTCCAGGTCAAAGGCTCAGGGTGTGTCCCTCGAAGACAACCACCTATTTCGGTTTGGGCACCCGGAAAGTATCCCAGCCCTCAAATAAATCGAATGATTTCTGTGGCGCATATCTGTTTGTTGCCTCCTTGTACCAATATTCATGTGTTTAAATAGTAAATAAATAAAGCTGCATGTCAACTTGTAGATGAGATTCGGAGTAGAATGATTGTAGTTTTAGCTTTTGGTTTATGTTATCGATCGAAGCTACTGAGTTTTCGGTTGTATGACATGTCAGCATTTAAAAGACACCTTAACAATTTCTTTCTCTCTTGGGTTCATAATTATCTTTCATTTGTTATATTTAATTTTGCGAAATATACTAGGTAGTTATTTATTTTCAAACTGAATATTATTATCTTGTTCAGTGGTGGTTTTTTGAATCATCACAATGCCATGCATTTTTTTATTCATAGATTCTAGAGGTTCACTCTACACCAGAAGGAATGATGGTAAAAGATAAGAACCGTCCTAAACCACCGATGACACCATATGCATGTTTCGTGCAAGTAATACGTGAGGAACATCGAAAAAAACATCCGACAGAAAATGTTATTTTCAGTGAATTTTCCAAGAAATGTGCAGAAAAGTGGAAGGTATGAAGAATTAAAAAGCATTATTACTGTCTCATGATTAATTATTCCTTATTGTGCAGCTCATGAATTTGGAACAACGAAAGTGTTTTGAGGAAATGGCAAAATTAGATACGGAGAGATTCAATCGGGAAATGGCTCATTATATACCACCAGTCGGAATGAAGCGAGGTCGTAGACGGCGACGTATCAAAGATCCAAGTATGCCTAAACGTTCATGGTCAGCATTTTTCTTCTTTTGCGATGCATTTCGATCGAAAATTCGTAGTGAGCATCCCGATTGGAAGGTTAGCGATATTGCCAAGGAGTTAGGTAGACGATGGGAAGAGTGTTCCGATAAAGAGAAATACGAAAGACGCGCACAGAATGACAAATTACGTTATGAACAAGTGAGTTACAAAAGTGGTGTTTCAGGTTACCTATTCACCCATGTTTTGAAAAGTTTATTAATTTATTTAAATCAGTCTATAAATAAACATTCGGGAGTCAATCAGCCATAAGCAGCATAGAACTTGATGCATATGGGTATCGATCCAGTGTGTCTGCATTACAAATAAATATTGACCTGATAATCGTTAACAACAGTAGAGTATTTGGAAAGCTGTTTATATCCTGGAAATTATCATAAATAAATACTACTGCAAAACTAAGACTTAGTGGCTCAGATGTTTGACTTCCACTTTTTGAACCGGGTATTGTACTTAACTATCATAAAATTAATGTGGCTCGAAGATAAGTACATAAATCTATGATGATAACTTTTCCCAAAAGTTGAATAACAGGACAGACAATCAAATACACAGATAAAAATACGCTGAAACTAGCAGAAATGTGTGGAGGTTCAAGAATGCAATTCACGTGAGCATGAGTTAGTAAAAATTAACAATAGATTAAAAACAGAAGATTAAACATGATAAATGAACATCGAAACTATCGTTAAAAAACCTCGTGGGAACAGGTAATAAAAACTATAAAGAAATAATAGGGTTGAAATTTTGTGGAAATAAGCAGTGAGTGCACCTCTGTCACTGTGATCTATCTTCTTAACTTTCAACAAAGATATGCAATCATAAATTGCGATAATCTCGTAAATTTCAACGTGAAAGTTTGTGTCTCCGCACAGAACTCAGGCCAACAATCAGTAACCCTATGAAGTGATACCATATTTTGGTTCCCTTGCTTTTAGCTATTTTTCAACTTACGCTTCAGTCTAGTTATCATACTATCCCAAAGTAGATACTGTTTACTCACGTATACCACATTCAAACCACCTCATTCAATTAAAGTTCTTATTGGTTAACTTAAATATAACCCATCCAGTGGTTTCAACGTAGCTGAACACTATATATATATAATTAAATCATAGGGGAATAGGACTAAGAAAGTATACAATACTCATGAAATTAAACTATTTGCTTAACTGTTTTGTAACATCTAAAAAGAATTACACTTATATTTGAAAACTTTTGGAATATTTTATCGACTATATTCTTACATATTTGTATTTTCCTTTAAAAATAGGATATGGAGAAATACAAAGCTGGATTGTATGTGGCGACCAAACGTGCTCGAGTTGGCGATCAGACGAAATCAAACGAGATACTGTCATGCTTAAACAATCAGTCACATCATAAAGAATTAGGTGAGGCAAGTCAAATTTCAAATGATGAAGTAGGACGAGGTGATGGAGACGATGATGATGGAGATGAAGATGATGTCGATGATGATGATGATGACGATGAAGAAGAAGAGGAAGAGGGTGATGGAGAAGAACAAGACGATGAAGATAATGAACAACAACAATTAAACAGATCTAACACTCATGAAATGCCTGTTTGTGGTGATCACAAAACACCAGAACAAATTGTCTCCAGTGATACAAGTAGTATTATTATAAATACAGGAAATTAGAGTATATTTATGTTTATGTAAATGTTTCTCACTCTCTCTCTTTTTATCATTTCATATATTATTGAAACATATATTGTCATTGATTCTTTGTTGGCCATTTTTCTTTCTTTTTTACATAATGGAGTCAATAGACCCACCGATACAAATGCATTTATTCTTTACCCCATTGCTGACTCTCATTTATTTTATACTTGATACATTTTGTTTTCCTTAGTTTTATATCGATAGATGATTTTTAAATTGTGTCCTTTGGATTGACAAAGAAAACACCTCAATCGCTAATATATATATTTATATATATAATACCTCTACTTATTTCTTACATCGCTTTGTTTTTTTATATGTTAATTTTTAATTTTGATTTCACTATACGGTCGTCAGGTTGAGTGCTAATGGTACCAGTTATAATAATAACTATAATGATCATTATTATCACTATTTGAGTCTCATATTTTCATTGACTTTGCTTTTTTTGCTAGGCATTTAACTTTCATCTAATATATATAACTGATTTATTTTGGTTGCTACGATAGATATTTATGGATATAATTGAGTTTTCTGTATCCAATTAGTTTAAAATTTATTGCTTTTGTAGAATATATGAAAATTGTTAACTTTTACAGTCAAGTTCAGCTTTATATGTTAATTAATGAACTATATGTATGGTGTCAAAGCAAGTAATATATCTGTAGTTCACAAATTAGTGTTTCTTTTATTTCTAACTTCTTCATAGTTTAATGCTAAGTTGGTGTTTAACATAATCAAATTCTTTCTAAGGTTATGAATATATTTGTATAAGAAAAGAATTTTATTACTTCTGATCTTCTTCGGTTTTCTCTGAGACTATCGAATTTCAACCACTAAGTTCTAGGTTCAAACCCTGCTCTAAGCTACTTTTTCTTGGGCAACCGGGTAGTATCACTAACCCCCATACTTTAAGTATTGCTCATATCCAAATACCCGGTGAATGAGTTAATCGTATTATTTCTGAACTGTTAACAGTCAAGACTACTATATAACTCTAAGTCTACGGCGGCTTCATTAAGTTTTACGCTGGGATTGTCCTATTTGATAAATTAACTGGATGTAATTTTTGAAATGATGAAACACTTTAAAGTAATCATTTTTGATTGGATACTTCTCTTACCTTTCATTTTTTCTCTTTGTCTTGGTCATTGCTATGAAAGCACTGTATTACCATTGGCAGTTTTTTCCAGCGTACTATTTTCGTCTTTTATTATTGTTAGTTTTTCTAAAAGTGAACTTATGAGAGTACTTGTTAGGCTTGGTTCAACTAAGGAGACTCTGAAACATTTAGGTTTCTGTAACATGTCTTGTTTTGTATAGTTAGTTGTTAGTCCGTGTATATATGCTTTCCATATACTACTCTGATTGTATACACTACGTAGTATCATAAATCAAGCCTTTTTTTAGAAGATATTACGATTTGCACTACTCCGATGTGTCTGTTTGATGTCATTGCCAATCCCACTACTATATACCGAAAGTCATATCATTCAAATAAAGTTAGGGGAAAATTTAAATGAACGGCTAGTACAGAGATATTTATAATATTGGATCCATTTTTTGTCTACAGATTTATACCGATCGAAAACTCATTCTTAATTGGTTGACAGTCAATCAATCATATTACGTTCTGAGAACAATTGCAATCTCTTGGTTGATCCAGAATATTTCGAAACGTAGTCTTCCTGAGACTATTGTAGCAACAAGTGTGGTAGTACACGTATTTTCTGAAAAAGTAATCTCTGAGGTATTCTAGTAACAGTAATACGTGATGCTAAATATTTTCAAAACCTTTTGAACAAAGGTTTTAAGACTGTTGGGACTCGTTATTTGGGTTTTTCTAGCGGAAATTGACACTGATAACTGTTACTATCGTTTACCTGTTCTATTCGTAAATGTTTATTTACAAGATTGCATTATGTATGTGTATAGTTTACAAGATAAAAATACAGTATAGGAACGGGAAAATCGGAATCGAGAACACAGCTTTTAGGCTTATGAAGAAAATCTAAATGTCACGTTCAGCGAGCGGTAGAAATGCTTTTGCGTAGTGCTCAGAACGTTTTAAAATGATAGCGGGAAATTGCTTTGTGCCATTATAGAGGTAGAGTAGATATTGTTAAACGTATCAGCTACTCACTCCTCTCTCTGTAAGTTGTATGTAACAGACAAATTCATACTATCCCTTTATCCTAACCTTTGAATGCTGAATAAAACATTAACCAGGAGGCCCTATATTTCAAAAAATACCTGTTGTACTTTTTCACGAAATTCATTTGTCCTAGTGGCGACAGAGCATTTTTACATGACAGCTGATGTCAGTTCGTGATAAAAATTTTATCATTGAATACATTATCCTAAACAATATGGGGACTTAAAAAAACAGTTTCAGCCCTTACACAGGCTTTAGAAGACGAGTAATCTATACTGAGGGACAAATTTGTATTTTGGGGCACCGAATGGTCGTCACATCATATCTCGGATGATTTCATATCAACTGCTGTTTATCCTTATCACGAAGTCACTTCTAATGTCTACTCTACTCATTGTAAAAAATATACGTTAAATGAGGCCACATAATTCACAACTTGGGGATATGAAGATTCAACATAATTTAGTGGGGGGAGGATAGTGTTGGAGAATCTATGGTTCAAATTATGGTTATTAGTGGTTTCGGTACACAACCGACACAGTGATTGTATACAATCCCAGTAACCAGGTGAGTCTGTTCCGATTTCGGTTGTTAATTCTAAGGCTTATGAGTACATTCTAGATAATACAGGGTCTTTATCCAATACGCTGTCGGACAGACACAGGATGAACTTAAGAAGATGTACAATCGATTACAGACACCTGGACTCCAATTTAAGATATGGCAGACGTGGTGTTTGCATGAACTAACGGTTCCTTTGTACTTGTTGAATGCTTGATTTCGACTTTCAATTACAGTACATTCGTTCGTGCTTATCTAGTACATCTTGATCCGGTTGCGTTATTCCTGGGATTCTTAGTTTATACTATAATTCAAATACTCCTAATTATCACAAATTGCGATTCCAATAAATCACTCTCTTCCACTTTGACATCTTTTACTTAATGATTTAGCTAATCAAATAGAGAGGAATAATTACAACCCTGGGTTTGGATTGAATTGAAATCTATCGAGAGTTTGACAACGCTTTAACCAGTAACACTTCCTAATATGAATCGTACCCACCAAGTGTCTAGCGACCGTCCAGATAAAAATGCCAAAGTTTGCCAGGAGTGGCTAACCCATTGTTGTAAGTCTCCTCTGATTGCTGAGTCAGATTCATCTACTGCGATACTAATGGGTGCTTCAGTGTTCTGATGAACGAGCATTGTTGCTTGAGCGATAAGTTCCTTAACTGTAGAGAACGCATGTCGCACGGTGTCGTTCGAATTGATGGATTTCGCATTTCCACGAAGTTGGTCGGTAAGAGGTTTCATACGTAAAGCACATTTTGGTATGAATCGTCTATAGAAACTTACAAGGCCGTTAGACGTGCGTAATTGCTTGATGGTGGTCGGTTCTGCGTAGTCCAGAATTGCCGCCACTTTGGTCCTAAGGGGTTGAATGCCTTGAGCAACTATAGTGTGTCCTAGGAAGTCTAATGAGTCAGTTCCGATTTGGCATTTCTGAATGTTTACAGTGATGCCATGTTTTTGTAGTTGGTCGAAAACAAGATCCAGATGCTTGAGATTCGATTCTCTGTTCGGACTGCTATTAGAAAATCGTCAACATACGCATGTACGAAGTTGTGACCTCGGAAAACGTCGTTTATGAACCTTTGGAATGTTTGTGCAGCATTTCTTAGACCGAAGGACATTCACAAAAATTCATACAGTCCAAAGAGAGTAATGATCACTGTTTTCGGTATATCGTCTGTAGGCATAGGTATTTAGTTATACGCTTCAACCAATTCGATTTTTGAAAAGACAGTTGTACCTTTCAAGGTAGCTGTCAAATCGTGAATGTGAGTCAACGGGTAACGATCGGGAATGGTTTTCGCATTCAATCGCCTATAGTCACCAGTTGGACGCCAATCGTTGCTGTCCTTTTCAGGGACCGTTTGCAACGGAGATGCATATGGGTTACTTGACGGTCGTATGATTCCTAAGTCTATCATATGGTCGAACTCATTTCTCACCAACCTTAACTTTTCGGGGGCTAGTCGTCGTGCTTTAGAGAATACAGGTGGTCCTGTAGTCATTATGTGATGTGTAACGTTGCTGGTTACACACGGTAGTTTCGGTTGCGTTTGATGAATCACAGGATACTTATCGAGTAGTGGTTGATAAAGTGGGTTTATCGTATGCTTAATTGTGACTGGGGATAATCTACAACCAAGAAAAGAAGTTACGCGAACGGATAAATTAGTGTTTCGTTCTACTAGCCTCCGCTTGTGCGTATCGATGATTAGATTATGGTGTTGTAGAATGTCTATACCACTGATTGGCATAGAAACATCTGCAACAACAAAGATCCAGTGAATGGGTTTGCGTAAACCCACGTAAAGGTAAACGTACCTTTTATTGTATGTGGCGATAGGCTTCCCGTTTGCCGCCTATAGATTTAAAACCGATTCGTGAAGCCGGTCGTTCGAATTTGCAGGAAGGGCGCTAACTTCTGCGCCAATGTAGACGAGGTAGCGAACTCTCGCTATCACATCTATGACATATAACAGACGGCCATGTTCGCCGGCTACGGTTACCATTAACGCGTGCCGGCTTGGAAGTTTCCCGAATTGTTTTTCGTGTCGGTCGATTTTGAGTTGGGAAAATTGCAGGGTTTTCTGCAATTTCTGGAGGACTTTCCATACTGGTTATGATACCAGCACAAGTCTGAGTTATCAGTCTCTCGTGGCCTAGAGACAGATCGCTTACGTGAAGTGCCTCTTCATGGGGTGTGTGACCGTTTACGGTCGTTACGAAATTTAAGATAACGTGTAAGTGTATGACATAACTCTGTTATGTCATTCTGGGTTGTTTGAGGCTTTTCTCTGGCTAAAAAACTTCGGCATAAGATTTCATGATTTTTAAAATACGGTCGGCAGATGCAGCCGGCTCGTCTAAGGCGTTGTTCTGAAACGAGACCAGCACAGTTTGCACCTGTTGAGGAAGTTTGAACAAGAAAAGATGTTTAAATAGGCCATCGTCGAAGGTTCTTTGGCCGATAACCTCTCACATTCGTTGCAACATACCCGTTGCAGAACCGTGTTGCAGGTCGATGTTACTAAGGATTTGGTCTAACCTTTGTCTATCGGTTAGGTCTCCAAGTTTAAGGATAGATCGTTTCAGTGCTTCGTAGGGTTCCGAAACATCACTGGTCGAAATCGCGCGGCAGTGCCTTGACTACTGTGAGGAATTGTGCATGTGTGTCGTTCACACCGTGCTCGCAGAAGTCGACTTCTGCGTAGCAGAAACAGGTTTCGGTGTTGTCTGGCCAGAAGGGCATCAGTTGAAACGAAGGTGGGGACATAGTCTTTAACTTAAGTACCTTGGATATCTGTTCGGCCATGGTGAAATATCAAGTACGCGAGTGAACAAGTGAAAAAAATATCCAAAAACAAGGAAAAATAGTATCACAATCTATGAAAAATTAAAATAAGGCAGTGATACATAAAACCCCAGAAGGGAACAGACTCACAATTTGCAGTTTGGCGCACCGATGAAGATGCCACAGGTATTCAGAATTTGACAACGCTTCAGCCAGTAACACCTATTATGAATCGTACCCACCGAGTGAAATCAAAAGACAGAAGCGAGGAGGTT